TTTCACTACTGAGCTGCTTTCCACAAATGTGCAAGAACCCAAATCGCCGCTCATCTTTTTCCAGGGCAACAAAAGTGGATTCCATTTGTTACTTTTTGCAAGGCCAAAGAGGTGGGAGATGGATGCATGCAGGATGGTGACAAATACCTGCTCCAGATAAAAAGCCTAACTGCGGGGAAATTAATTTTTGGATGGTGGCCTTTGAAGTACCATTCTATATAAAAAGTAATCCAATGAAACTTGGCCCTGTTTGGAAGGTGTCAACTACCTTTGATTTGTTCATCTCACTCTCAGTGGTTTTTATTTGAGGCCAGTCTGCTGGCTCTCAAGAGATTGCTATTTTTATTTGAAAGAAAGTGTAAACTGACAATTTGTGTTGAGCTATTTTCTAAGCTGTGCTCAAGCTTTTTTCCATAAAAGAAACACTGCTCGATCAATGCTGGCTTAGCTTTTGCTGTGCTGACCAGAATGCTTAGAGAACTGGAAACAAAAGCACTGTTTTCAGTTAAAACATAAAGTGTGGATTTACAAGCATTCAATAAAATGGTGGCATGGTTTAATACTACATCAAATGGACACAAAAATTTGCAAAAAAATATAGTGTCACTGGATTTTCTAGTTATTAGCAGCTGTTATAATTAAAGTTGAACTCCAGGCAAACAGCTAAATAAACAGATGAAAAACATGTTTGAGAGCTGCCAAAGAATTTGTAATTTTATTCACTCGGTTCTGAGATTTACACTGCTACATTTACATTTAGCCCCAGTCTACAATAGAATGCGGTGTGGGAAACCCATGGTCCGTGTGCGTTTCCCGCACCACATTTAGATCACTTTACTATTGTGATCTGCAGGGGGTGTCATTGCAATCTTAAAAACACCACAAATGCCGGTCTCAAATGCAGTGCGTTTACCTGCACCATATCTGGTTGCAGTGCTTTTTCAAAATTGGTGCATGCATGAATTTGGTGAGATGTGGCGTGATTTGAGCCCATTCAAAATGAATGGGCTCAAATCACACCACGCTGAATCACATGCGAATCATCACGTTAGACAGTAGCCAATTAACCTACCTGCATGCTTCTGGAGTTTGGGAGGAAACCGGAGTACCCAGAGGAAGCCCACGCAGGCACAGGGAGAACATGCAAACTCCTACCCAGGGACGGACTGACAACTCATGGGGCCCCCGGGCAATAGGGGATCATGGGGCCCCTGTGTCCTTGCCCATACTCAAAAAAGCCTATGAAAAAGGTACCAGGGGCATTCCATGGGACACCCTACTGAACCTGGGTACTCGGGCAGTGCCCGAGTTTCCAAATGGTCAGTCTGCCCCTGATCCTACCCTTCATCATTTTTTCAAAGGAAACAAAAAATAAAGTCTAGATTTTGGCTTTAATCATGCTGTTAACTGTAAAATTTCTGGAAAAATTGCTTCAACATTTGTTTTATAATATCTCTTTAGACTTTAGACAAAAAAAATAGAACTGGAAATGGGATCATACAGTTTTCATTTACCATTAAATATGCTATTCACTTCAATAATGTTACTGAAAATTGGATGCTTTAGCCATCCCTTTATGGAATTCTGAACAGCCAAGCAAGCAGCTTTAGAAGCCTGCATGAATAAATTCATAAAAACAAACCTTAATATAAAAAAGTGACTATAACTAGGCTGAGATTATGGCTTTAGCCTGCTGCTGGCAGGAGGAAGCATATTCTCAGTCTCCTCTCTCCAAGTGATGACTCTGGCTGAAACAAGTTGCAGCAGAGACTGATTTGTGTTAGACATGTGTGAACACAGCCAAGAACTGATCAGACATCAGGATTTAATTGATCAATCTCTGAGACAGTATATCATTCTACATATTGGTTGTTGGCTTTGGATAATTCCTCAACAAGATAGTGCAGGCCTTCTGAGGAAAAAGGAAGATGAAGGCATTGTCAGGGGAGGAGTACAGTGATCTCTGTGAGATATAATACATAGTGCTAAATGTTGCACTGACACATTAATCAGCCTGTGTCCACCTAATATAATTGATGTTTTGTCCACTCCAGACATACAGTAAGTCCATATTTATATTAAAGTTCAAACATTTTTTTATTTTCTATTACTTGCCATGTAATGTAAACTGCTTCATACAAGATGTAATAAAAAGCAATTATTGACCCAATATATACATTTTATCATGAATACTTTAACACTAAGATGAAGGGACCTTTTCATAGCTGCCTAGAGTTCATCTTTAATCTTCTGTTAATATTTCCTCTGAAGTTACAAGCATGCTACAACTTCCAGCAATATACAACAATCACCTATTTCTGTTCCTCATATTAAGACTGGGGACCTTGAAAATGCTTAAATTGATGTCAAGGGCAAAGTAAATAAAACATATTTTTGCCATTATATACAATATTTTATTGCCGGCTGACTTGAGTGCAAATATGTCAAACTTTGTAAACTGTGAAATCACTCTGCAGCCAGAGCAGTTCGACACCGATTACCTTCAATGTTTGATGACATTTGACAGATGATAAAATTATTTATCACAGATGCCAGAAAGCCATGGCAGTAGGTAGCGTTGCTGAAGGTTACATTAATCTGTGCAACAGATCGAGCCTTGTGACTTTCACGTATCTCTGGGCAAAAAGAGCCATAAAAATCTTGCTCGATATTGCAAGTCTAGTGGCACTTAAAGTGTCCTTTAATGTATGAAATTACCACCACACTTGTTCTACAACCCGGCAATAAATGAAAATGTCACCTCTTGAGCCACCCATAGAATGAAAGAAAATGACACATGCCCTTCCATATAACAATTAATTGAAGTAAGAAAGTTTGGTAAGTGTATTACAAAGGGGAACATTTCTGTATGTCTTGATTTTCTGAAAATGATTTCTTCTTGATAGTACCATTTGTGGTGGTTTTTACTTTTTCATCTATTGTTAATTACATCTATACTGTATACTGACTGTGTATTACCTATTCTGCTGAAAAATATTTAATAGAAACGAATTAAACAATAGTAACATTTGTGTACATAACTAGTTTCATGTATGTTTTTGCTAAACAGGGACATTTCAAGAATTGTCTTGTGTTCAAAGAATTTAGAAAAAGGCCACACACATTGAGTCTAGATGAGCAAAAGTATAACTATACAAGCAATCTCTTGTCTAAATGTATTAATTCTAGGGTGGCTACAGATTTGCATCTGACTTGCAAAGCAGCAATGATACGTGAAAACAATGAAACAATGAAAAGTGAGATCTATGTCCATCCCCAACTGTACTGTTGTACTGTTAGGACCTATCATAGTATTCTCTCTCATCCAGCTTGCACATTAATATGAAAAGTGAATCACAGCTCATAAACACATAGATTTTGCATGCTGCTTATTATCCCCTATGGAAACCCGACATGACTCATTCTTTGTCTGATCACAAAATGATGCATTGGTTGAAAAGACAGGGCATACTACTCTTATGCAAGCTACAACAAGAAGATGTTGGGCATTTAAAAGGTCATACAGGTGATATTTTAGTAATAGGTGAAGAATGGTGGGATGAGTCAATTCATGGTTTCTTTTGTTTTTGATGCTTTTTTAGAAAGATATCTCTATCATAAATCCTGACTCTATCTTGTAGATTTTGGTGTTTTCACTGACCTTGCCAAACTCCCGCTGTATACTTTATAACAGCCTTTCTCAGCCCTTTTAACCCAAGATGAACCCTTGAAATAAATTTCAGGTCTCAGGGAACCCTTGCTAAAAGCAATAAATTGGGGATCAGTGGGAAAATGCCCCTTGCATTGGTGGTTAGAATGCCACCCTTACAGACAGATAGAGATCATTGGTGTCATGCTGCTGTCTCTGTCAAGTAGCATTTCCCCTGGTACTACACAGGCACCATCTAGAAAGATATCTGTCTTCCACAGCTCTAGGAACACCTACTTACCTCTGGGGGAACCATAGGGTTCCACAGAATCCTGGTTTAGAATGACTGTGCGATATTATAAAATAGATAAAACATCCAACAGGAAGAATGGGAACACCATAATGGCAGCAGCAGTTGTGAAGAATGATTAACTCAAACACAGAGTTTGCAACAAATGTAAACAAATCGTATGCAACATCTTTCAAAATTGAAATGTCAGCACTCTTGGCACTCTGACTTCCTCAAATATATCATCACACAATATTTGTTGATTATACCAAAGATATAATCATCAATTTGATCGAACACTGTGGTAACAGGGAGTTGCATGGTCCTCTAGGGACAACTGTGATCTGTGTAACTCTTGTCAAAACCCCTTTTGTGTTGCTACAAAAAAAAAGCTCTTAAGCAAGGCCCCCTTCTATACAGTTAATATAAGAGTTACTGATAACAACAACTAATATATATTTAAATAGCACCTGTCTCTGTGTAAAATGGAATTCTCCTACCTCTAAATCTAAAAAACGCATGCAGCCCTTAGCAATTATTTATTTACATGGGATGTTGTCTCAGATAAAAACCTCCCTAAAATGACAGGTTTTTGTTTCATTAGCTTACAACAACAGCATACTTTATGTATTTTCTTTACCTATATCAGCTAACTATTTACTGTTTGAGAATGACTAGGGCTATCTATCCAATTTCCTTAAAAGTAGAAAGTCCTTTTAAACTACAGGAAATGTTGATATTTTTCCATAGGAAATTTTCCTTGGGTGAAAATGATGAAATTGATGTGCATGGACAAGGCCCTAGGCCTTGTTATTTGAAATATCCTGATAACAGAACACAATAGCTTGCACCAGCTGCACAGTAAATGTAAATATAATATTAGATGGAAAGTGTTGTGGTTTAATTCTTTTACAGGAATCAATAATCCTTTTAGTAAATTCCGTGGTAATCAGCAGAAAGATTTTACCATTTATGTATTAAAAAAAGAAGAGCAGTCAATTTCCAATTCTGTAAAAGAAGGTTTAATAAGGAGAATAAATGCAGCTCATAGAGCTCTCCTACCTTCCTCCGTTGTCCGGGCTGACTTTGAATCGCTATCCAGTCCCTGAAACTCATTGAAATAAGGTCGAATCTTAATCTCATAAGTAATCCCCTTTTTCAGGTTGGATATCACAGTGCTGCGCTCAGCTGGAACCTTCACTTCCAGGTTCTGCCATGAGGATGGACTCTGCAAACCTGACGTCTGTCTGTATATCACCCGATATCCTTGTATGAACTGCGACTGACGATCAACCTGTATGGATGAAAAACAAAAAAGCATTATGAATAATGAAACTGCAATGACAGAACGAAAGAGAATCTGTAGCAAGGCAAACATACATGAGAGAAGCCACCAATAAAAATCTTTACAACTTTGGTTGAGATGCATTCTACTTCAGGGGCAGTGATTTCAAATGCAGCTTGACTACACCAAACTTAAATGTGGCCCCCAAGTCAGGGAATGGCAGCTTACACCTTAGGTTTCTCAAGCAGGTATTTTGCTACATACAGACATTGACTTAAGAAACTTCAGCACAGGGATATGCTTTTCTGAAAATTAGCAATCTTTGGGCAAACATGTTTTAAAGACCCATAAATGTTCAAAGAAAACCAAAGGTGAAAAAAAATGTTGTGAAACTAGATAAACTTCCATATAGTAGACACCATAAGAGGTCAAGGATTGCAAGAACATAGCTGCAACATTACAGTAAATAACCATATGAAGCTCATATTTCAAGGTAAGGGTACATCCAGCAATATAGCAGTCTGTGCTGGAGCAACCTATTACATGACAGCAAGGTGGTGTGCCTAAGCACATAAAAGTACTAATTTTCAGAAAGTGGGCATTTTCATGGGTTTTTTGGGGGCTTCCAGTTGATACTTAGCAATATATTTTCTATCCAAGGTTTTTAAGTAAAACCCAAGCCTACTTTAAAATGCCTACCCTCCTCAATGTAGTAAAGAATTTATGTGAAAGATCATTAAAAATAAACAGTATATATAAAAAAAATTATATTTTTAGGAGCTGTATATATGTTTGCAACTTTACATTTAAAGCAAAGTGGCAATAGCAAGAGCACAAAAACTTTTCCGGATCACTTCATCTACAGAAAGAAGCAGGGGAGGACTGGGAGCTTTTGGCCTGGGAGGAAATAACAACTAACTTGAGATGAATTGTATGATCTTGGTGAGTTGAATGCTGCCCATATGCACTCATTTACAGTAAATAAAATACCATGCCCCCTCAAATATGCCTTATCACTCTAATTATATTAACAAATGAGCTCAACACATTTCATGTTTTTTCATTCTATCAGCATTAACTCTCTTTGCAGCTCTTTACTTTAGAAACATAGAAAAGTGACGTCAGAAAAACACTGAGTGGTCTATCGAGGCTGCACTTTTTTTTTATTTTGTACGTTTTCTTTTTGTGTGTGTGGGGGGGGAGGGGGGTGGAGATGTTTGTTTTTTTGTTTTTTTTTTGGGGGGTAGGGTGTTTTTTTGGTAACTTTTGCAGGTCTATGCTTGTCCCAAGCATGTTTGAAACTGTTTATTGTTGACTGGCTCACTACCTCTGCTGGAAGTTTATTCCAAGCATCAACTACTCTATCAGTAAAATAGTACTTTCTGAGATTAGTTTTGAACTTTCCTCCAGTTAGTTTAAGGTCTTGTCCCCATGTTCTTGATTTTGGTTTTGTGTTGAAAATACTGCCGTCCTGAACCTTATTCACCTCCTTGATGTATTTAAAGGTTTCAATCATGTCTCCCCTTTCCCTTCTTTCCTCCACACTGTACATGTTAAGTTCCTGAAGTCGCTTTTGATAAGTTTTATCCCCAGACCTTTCACCGTTTTTGTTACCCGTCTCTGAACTTGTTCTATCCTATCAATATCTTTTTGTAAGTGAGTTCTCCAGAACTGGACACAGTATTCTAAATGAGGTCTAACTGAAGATCTACATAGGGGAATCAGGACCTCATTGCTCCTGCTGGTGACCCCTCTAGTGATGCATTCTAGAATTCTATTGGCTTTCCCAACTGCCTGACCACACTGTTTTCTCATTTTGCAATCATCTAACATAAGTACCCTCTGAAGTGCTGGCCAACACTGTACCCCCAATGTTGCACTCTCTCAAGGGATTCTTTTTCCCTAGGTGCATTATTTTACATTTAGAAACATTGAACTGCAATTCTCACTTTATTTTATTAATCTTCCAGCAATGACAAATCATGTTCCATGTTACATACACCTCCAGGGATATCAATCCTATTACACACCTTTGTGTCATCAGCAAAAAGACATACCTTACCCAGCAAACCTTTAGTTATATCACTTACATATAGGTTATATAGAACGAGACCGTGTACAGAACCTTGTGGTACACCACTAGTGACTGGTCTCTGTTCCGAGTGAACCCCATTTACAATCACACTCTGGTAGCTACCATTTAGCCAGCTGCATATCCGCTGAACCACCCAAGGGCTAAGTCCTAGCTTGTACAACGTTTGTATTAGATCATTATGTGGAACTTTATCAAATGCCTTGCTGAAATCAGGATATGCTATGTCCACAGCACCACTCTGGTCCAAAACATTGGTAATATAGTCAAACAAATCCAATCAGATTAGTCTGACATGATCTGCCATCTGTAAAGCCATGCTGCTTTGGATCCAGCAAGTTGTGTGTTTTTAAGTGATCAATGATCCTTCTTTTCAGGATGATTCCATTAACTTGATTATTACCGATGTTAAACTCACTGGCCTATAATTGCCAGCTTCTAGCTTGCTGCCCTTCTTGTGGATATACAATATTAGCTGTCTGCCAGTCATGGGGAACGTCTCCTGTCAGAAGAGATTGATTAAAAAGATCAGTTAATTGTCCAACAACTATACCTCAAAGTTTTCTTATAGTTCTCCCATAACATCTCAGAGCCACAAAGAATGTCACTGCTTGAAGATAGCAGGTCTTAATGGGGAGCAGATAGCTACATGGTGCACAGCAACCGATACTGACTGTGGTTCTGACTCTAATTGAGGTTTCAGTGGGTGAATATTTCCAATCAGGGCAACCAGCCCAACATAAATTTTTTGTGCAGGTGCAGGTGAAAGCCCACCTGCCCAGTCCTTCCCTGAAAAGGAGGCATACTCAATAAAACCTCAGGGGTAGCAGACACAACAACACCATATTTCCCTTGAGATGGGGACACTCAAACACAGACTACAACTTTTCCTCCACAGACTCCATTGCAAGATCAAAAGGGCAAATGGTCACTAATCAGGGCTTCACTGAATAGTGCCACACTCAACTCACATGCTACCATACTATCTTTTAAGCAGGAACATCCACCAATCAGAGCAAAAGCAAGCAACCGAGAGAGCTCCATTGGAGATTGTCATCCCCTTAAAGACCCACTAACATTAATATTAGATACTAAGGCCTTACTCCTGGAATGATGTACCATAGGGTGTGTGGAAGAACTGTGTGATGTTTTATATGTGTATGGAGTAGGCTATGAGAAGGACTAAGGGGGAGATTTAGTGAAACTGGAGCACTCAGAATCTAGTGCAGCTGTGCATGGTAGCCAATCAGCTTCTAACTTCAATTTGTTTCAATAAGCTTATAAAATAAAAACATTGAAGCTCATTGGTTTCTATGCAGAGCTGCACCAGATTTTGCACTCTCCCATTTTAGTAAATAACCCCCTAAATGTTGAAGCAAGCACCTTGTGATGCCTCCTTGTTAGTCAAAGTGACAGTTTCACTTTAATGGCCTGCCATCCACTCTAACATAAGTCTCTATACTCTTTTTCTCAGTTTTTTTTTTGTCCACAAAAATAGTAACTGCCCCATAAAATGAGCTACACATTGCACTCATCATTTATTCCTAATGCTAACATTACAGAATATATTACTCTGGAGAAAATATAGAAAACACTTTCATGACTAGGGGTAATAAAGTGCAAACTGGAAACACATTGAGGCAATTTAATCTAAAATCTCATATTTAGCAGTTTATTATAATATACGACACTTATGTTTTCACTTTTAAGAATAGCAACTACTTCAACAGATTGAAACCAAATGGCATTTTGTAGCACATTTAAAACTTTAAAAGAGAACGTAATTTTATACAGCCATATGTTTAAAATTTTGAGCATGTCCTCTTTGTCTTTTCTATAAGCCTGCATGTATTAGGTAAGGCTTTTTTTCTAAGCCCTTTTAAAAACTGAATGACAACTAAAGTAATGCAAATTGCCTTAATTAGTAATCTGACTTCACAGTAACAAAGTTGCTTCCTAACTTTCCAGTGGTCTACATACATCTAGTTTTCAGCTGAATTGCTGTGCACTGTTTAACCTGTCAGCTTCTGTCAATACAATTAATATAGAGTGTTGACTCTGTTGACAGCGAACATGAAATTGTTTAAGTAAGAGTCAGGATGCATGGTGTGTTCAGATTTCACCAAAACAGCATTTTATTCTACAATTAAGCAATGAACCAAGAGAAAAGAACTGAAAACTAAGGTACTAACATTCCACTTGTATTTAAAATAAACAAAAATCTTAGGAAATATAACAATGTTTCAAGCTAATATGCTATATGGGATAGACATACACAGGAAGCTTTGATATTTTGATTTAATCTAAGTACATGTACCTTAATTTGCTCAGAAAAGACCATTCTTTAAAGCTGAAATGAAGGGAAGCAGAGATACAACTGAAATACACTGCTCCAAAAAAATTAAAGGTACACTTTTTAATCAGAGTATAGCATCAAGTCAAACTCCACCCAAGTTAAACTCCTGGGATATTGATGTGGTCAGTTTAGTAGCAGAGGGTGTTGTTAATCAGTTTCAGCTGTTTTGGTGTTAATCAAATTAATAACAGGTGCACTAGATGGGCAACAATGAAATGACACCCAAAACTGGAATGGTTTTACAGGAGGAGGCCACTGACATTTTTTTCCCTACTCATCTTTTCTGACTGTTTTCCACTAGTTTTGCCTTTGGCTAGGGTCAGTGTCACTACTGGTAGCATGACGCAATACCTGGATCAGGGGCGGACTGACAACTCATGGGGCCCCCGGGCAATAGGGGATCATGGGGCCCCCGTATCCTTGCCCAAACTCAAAAAAGCCTATGAAAAAGGTACCAGGGGCATCTCATGGGGCCCGCTACTGACCCCGGGCCCTCGGGCAGTGCCCGAGTTTTCAAATGGTTAGTCCGCCCCTGACCTGGATCCTACAAAAAATGGCCAC